CACCAACCGCGTGCCTGAATGGCCCCCAGCAGCGCCGCCGGGGGTCTGCCATCCCCTTGGACAGCCCCAAAAGGAACACGAAGGCAAAGACCAGTAGCAGAGAAGACGCGTAAGGTCCAGGGAACCGTTCTGCAGAGGGCAGCCCATGCTTGCTGGAGGAGACACCAGCCCTACACGGAGACCAACGGCTGCCGAGCGTGCCCTGCTTCGGAGCACGGGGGAGCAAAACACCTCCCGTGCCACGTGCTGTGCCCGCGGGGAGCTGAAACCAGCTAGTGATGGAGAGGAAAACTACTAGTGATGGAGCTAAAAATGGCTAGAGATGAAGCAGAAAATGGCAAGTGATGGAGCAGAAAATGGAGCAGGCGTCAGCGTGGGCTCCTGAGAGGCCGAGCAGCGGAGGGGTGTGGGGCGCAGCGGGACGAGAGCTGCGTAGGTGGGCACACACAGTCCAGCAGCCCTGCGCCTCGCGGGGACTCACGGCGTGGCGCTGGACTTCCTGCGCAAGAGGTAGTCGATGACATCGGGGTCCGTCTGAAACAGCCTCCTCAGGACGTCGCGTTGCATTTCTGCAGAGACCTGGGAGGGACAGACAGACAGACGCGCTTGCTCGCGGCGCCTCCTGGCGGGACGCAGTCCTGACCTAGCTTTGGGGCGAGCCCTGAGCTGGTTGGTCTGCAGGCCCAGGAGGTCTCTTCCCGTAGGAACCTTTACGTGACTCTGAAAGAGGCTTTTGGGAAGCCCAGGTCGATGCATCCTCCAGGACAGGGTGAGCACTCCCTGCCTCGCGCCGATGGTCCAAACCACCCACTGAAGAGCAGACCCGAAGCGATCCCGTCCTTCAGCAGCCCCCCCAGCTCTCCCCGCTGTCACGCCCTCCCCGCATCTGCCTGAGGCTGTGGCACCTCCACCCCACGCCATCGCCTCCCAGCTCCTTCCCTCTTCCAGGGTCTCCCATTTTTTCCTCTGCTTTCCCCCCTCACTGGGGCTCTAGGGGAGAAATAGTACTGCAGGTGCTGTTGGCCAGCTCTTTCCATCCCAAACGAGCTCAGTCAGAGGTCACCAGGGTGGGAAGGGACAGAGATGACAGGACGTGACCCTCAGCGCCACCTTTGCAATGCCAGTAACAAACCATCTCAATATTTACGCCTGGCATGAGGAACGGATCACATTTTTGCAAGCTGCTGCTAAGTGAGGCTGTGGGTACATCCTTGCTTCTGCTGCCGTTAGAAGAGTTGGGAGGGGAGGGCCAGGTCTAGAGAAGCTGCCCCGAGAAAGCCTCGCCTACCGTGAACAGGGTCTGGTAGTGCTCAATCAGCCTCTGGAGCACCAGTATGATGGCAGCGCTGTCTTCAAAGTTCACGGCACCGGCGTCTTTCTCCCCAGGCTTCTCCTTCTGAAGGATGTTGGGGCCAAAGACTGTGGCCAAGTTTGAAACTGTCATTTTGTTCCCGGGAATCTAGCAAGGAAGCACAAGAGGCAATTGTGGATTACAGAGGGTACGAGATGTCCTGGGATAGCCTCACCCATCCCAGGACGGGAACACAAGCTCCTGCGTGAGGCCGGGGTGTTGATCTGGGTCCAGTCTGGTCCTCTCCGAGCTGGTGGCAGGGCCAGCATGGAGGGTCGGTGGTGCTGGAGCACACGCTCATCCCCTCCTTGCAGCAGGGCCTCCATTCCCATCCACCTCCCTTTCACCCAGCAGGTAAACACAACCAGTGTTTCCATACCATCTCACAATATGGGACAAAACCGGTCCCTCTGAGCCACCGAGAGACTTAGAGTTTGAATTGTCCCAGGAAACCCAAATCAACCTCAATGCAGGACGATAAGTCCTTCGTGAAAGCTGGCAGTGGAAAACCAGAATTAGTCCACAAAAGAATGCTCCTCGCGCTGCCTGCGGGCACAGAACCGGGTCTCCCTGGGGTTACTGTGACCCAGAAAGTCACTCAGCTGGGCTGCCAGCCGCCCGGACCTGCCACGGACCAGGGGATTTAGCAGCAGTTTGGCTTTGCCAAAGGGCTTGCAAGAAGTTCCGCTTGGCTTTAACCAACAAGGTTTGAGCACCTCCTCCTTCGCGCAGTCGTCCCGTGCGGGCCAG